CGTTAGGTGCCACGTTGCGGAGCGCTTGCTCATAGCTGTTGACCACCTGGGAGCCAACTTCCTGCTTCAGGCGTCCCGGTAATCAGCTGTGTAGATGGTGAATACAGTCCAATCTCGATAATTCAAACTCTAAGGGGCCCGAAAATTTTTAGGGGCGAAGCTCCTTAGGGCGTGGGCTGTGCGTCCCCTGTAGCCTGTATGTAGCCACCTCTAGTTTAGTTCTTGCAGTGTTCACTAGATGGCGGTACCGTCCCCTGTATGTAGCCACCTCTAGTTTAGTTCTTGCAGTGTTCACTAGATGGCGGTACCGTCTCCTGTATGTAGCCACCTCTCGTTTAGTTCTTGTAGTGTTTACTAGATGGTGGTACTTGTAGCTGATGATGAAAAGATGCAAGATGTTATAAACTAGAAAGCGGTACTTGTAGTTGATGAAAGACGCGAGATCTTATAAAATAGGAATGGTGTGACATATGGCGCGTGTCATTGGTTGAAGGCAATCATTCGATTTAGTGCGGCGACGTACGCTAGGGGGAGCGATGTAATAAAATCGAGTGGGCAAAATGTACAGAGGATTCATGGTTTACCAGGTTTACCTCCGGAGCTTCGCCCACTCATCATCATTCACTTCGTGGATATGGCGGAATTTTTTTCGAATTAAGAGAAGTTCAAATTAATGAAAGATAAATAAACGGAGGGCTCTCCATGCAGTGGCGCATGTGCATTGAGCTAACACACAAGTGGGAAGTTTCAGAAGACATTTATCCACAAATCACAGGACATCCGTTATTATTTGAAGTAATCGGTGATGCGCGTCTGCACACGCTTGCCTTGCAGCGAGTCAATCAATTCCGCACGCAGCTTGCAAAACATCTCAACCTGGCTTTAGCATTTTCCTGGCACCGGAAGTTGCGCGCGGAAATGTCCAGCGCCGACACTTTCTAAAAACGACGACAACAACGACTGCGTAGCGGAGCCTCCCTAAATGGTAGTGTATATGTGTTCTGTGGCCTCCCGCTCTCCGCTACACAGCCGCAACATGGCCAGCATGCAACGAGAAAGGAGGAACGTCTCCACGCGGAGAGAAGCAGATTGGCATTTGAAAGAAAACCAACACTCCACGGATATTTTTTTTTTTTCGCTCTCTTCGCTCACGTCATTGAAAGGATAAGTGAAGGGTTACTTGGCACAGACAGGAAAGGGGGAAGCGTGGCAACAGTACGAGACCCCCCCCTTAAGGTGCAGAGCTGTGCTCCCTCAAGGGCTGCAGAAGATAGTGCCTTTTTCCTTTCCTTCAACCACACAATCATTTAACACAGCCATGGCTTTCTTTTTTGTTTTTCCTCTCTCTCTCTTCGCGCACGGCAATGGAAGGAGGAGGGTCTTTACGTGGCAGGGACGAAAAAGTGGCCAAAACGTTTTTGTGTGTATTTGTTATTTAAAAGAGCAAACAAGGACAAGTTAAGCCTTTTCGCGTGTTAAACGACGCCCGTTCACAATGAACTCGCGCCATTCCACTGACGCCGAACCAGTCATCCCTGGCTAGTTGTGTGAAGTATGTCGCTTACCCTAGCTACTCTCACCGTCACATGCCAGTTCGCTTCCAATCCAATGTATGCGCGTGTCTGTGCATTCTTCACACGTGTTTCACTCGGGATCAAGCTAAGGTGAGGCGGGTAGCCTATTCTGTTTTCGCAAACAACGTGGGCAAGCGGCCTTGCACGATGCGGCGAACTTGCGAATGGCACCATGACGTGCTTGTACCACCGTCACTCCGTGAGCAGTTATCTATAGATGACTGTGATAAACTCGCGGACAGGGAGTAGAAATGGCACATTCATCCCCACCAGCGCCCACGCTATCACTTTTTTTTTAATGCTTATTAGTTAGGGCATCACCATGACCACGGGGAAGTCGTTATCACTAATCGACCAGTCTGCCGTTACGCAGGCCTTAGAATGGTGAAAAACACCCAAAAAGTCGACTTTACGAATTTTTATTCGTGGTGTTGTTGAATTTTATACGCACGTGTTCTGAAATTGTGAACGCTAAATTCAATCAATAAATGGGTTAAAATTTGTTTCTAAAGTCAATATGGGAGTTGCAAAACGCCCTGCGAAAGGTACAATTTGTTCAAACATGGTGCACGTCGCTGGCGAAGCAGCTCGCCGATCGTCACCATCTTGAGCTCGCTTCGATGGCAGATTTCTTTGTGCACATTTTTCCACCATCAAAATGATGTCACATGAAAGGAATGGCTGCCTTCGCCCCTTTTCTAAAGCCCCCTTCTCAATCAGTCATTGGCCGGAGCGCATGCGCGCCAGACAAGACCCCCGTCTCTCACTTCTCATTGGCTGATGCGACCAACGAGGCTGCGATTTTTTTTGTCGTCTGGTTGTTTGTCGGCTGCTAGCTCCGTACCACGCGTGTATCCGTCCGCTTTCCGCACGTGCTATGCGATCGACGCAACGAGTTCAAGTCTTTTTGCCAGCATGACTGGTGCTGCTCGTCTAAAGAAGAACACGCGCCAAGCGCACAGCAAGAAACGAAGGCGTCTGTGGCACACGCTGCAGAAGAAAGCAGACAACGCGGTGATGCCTCATGGTGGTGAGGAGTTGAGCCTCGCAAGGAACTTTCACACAACAAAAGTTATTGCTTCTCGCATTTATGGATTCTTGCGTTCGAAGAAATTGTTTATCGTCGGCGTCCGCGGATACAAGAACAGTGTCAGAAAAGTTAGCTGTGCGAAAGCTGACCCGCACACAAACTATCGCTTAAAACTAACAATATTGGCGTGACCGTGAAAATATGCATTGTTTTATTGACAAAATCGCACTTACAACGAACGTCTTACAACGAGCACTTACGGCGAACAAAGTCTGCGCTCTGCCCATAGATTCCTATTGCGAAACACCGACCCTACCTCCGCGCCGCTCTCCCCGACCGCTCTGTTATGCACCCTTCCGATTGACATTCTTGATTTGCCCAAGCAGGTAGCCGTTGTTGTGCCGCAAGTTTAGGACGAACCTGTGAAAACTGTGAAGCTTTTTATCGTACTCCTCCGCAGAACTTTTCTCATATGCCCGTTCACTTTCGGAGGAAAAAGCCTTTCCTCTTCATAAAGTTAGTTAGCCAGCACCTGCTCGCTTTAAACTGGCTCCGCATTAGACCTTTTTCTAAGGCTAACTGCATAGCCCACACTTGGAGCAGTTCTGTCGTCACGGGCCGCTGTGCCGCTCGCTGCTCAAGCACATACTCGCCGAGCAGCTCTTCAATTTGCGGAAACGGACCCTGCTGTGGCCCACTGAAGCCTTTGCGTGAAGCTTTGCTGTCGACAATCTTCTGCTTTTGTTTCCGCCAGTCCCGCACGCACATTTCAAAAACTCCCAACGACCGCGATGCGGCCCGATCGCCGTCTGTTTCTGCACACGCGATGACTTCCCTTTTAAAAGCAGCATCGTGGTGCACTCGAGTTTTTGGAGTCGGCCCTTCCATGCCGTCGATGCTAATGCACTACAAGATGACGAACTCCTCAGCACACGTACGAAGTGCCGCACATGGGAAACACATAGGCAGAAATGGTCGACGCGCATAGAGAGCGACCATTTTGAAAATGCCGATGACAATAGAATGACCTTTTTAGATGCGGAGCATCTTATACTCGCGCCTTGTAGTGCGCCGTCCGCACCGCTTCTCAAACATTCGACAGCTGACGCGCGCGCATGCGCCGTCGCCCACTCTTCCACCATCTGTGCATCCCTTCCTCCTCTACACACCGCGCGCGCTTCACTCCTCCACCATCTGTGCACCCTTCCTCCTCTACACACCGCGTTCGACATCTACAATTCTCCTGATTCTCCAGTGGACGCGCATGTGGCGTCGCGCTTCGAGAACATTCAACAGCTGACAGTGCATGCGCCGTCGTGCTGTATATATACTCAAGGTCGGCGCTCGCTCGCTCAGTTGCCGCTCGTCGGTTGGTTTGTACGGCGCGTCGACGTCCAAGGTCGCGGTGAAATGAATTCCAACGAATCCACAAACACAATGATCGACGTCCCTTCGACCAGCGCCGCCCTTTCGCATACGTGTGTACGTGTTCACTCATTTAACACCCCCTCCTACAACCACGTTAACCAATTTAGCCATCGACCCAAATAAGTCGCAATTTAACACCCCATTTCACAACCACGTTAACCAATTTAGCCATCGACCCAAGTAAGTCGCACTTTAACACCCCGTTAACCAATTATATGGTCCGCATCCTCCTCAGTGTTCCCCCGAGGGAAGCTGCGGGCATTTTTTTTTTTTTTTTCATACTCGAGTCTAACGTGCATGTGATTTATGAACTCGCTTAACCGGAAAAAAGGTGCGCGTTAGGTTCGAGTAATTACGGTAGCAGAGGAAAAAAGTAAGGGTACCGAAATATGGTCCGTACGTGCACCGAATTATGGTGGTTATAACCAATAGATTATTATATCTGGGATCGTTATAAGTGGGTTGCACTGTACAGTTAAACCCCTTTATAAGAGGCATGCTTCGGACAGCAATTCTTGTCCTTTATATGAGATGTCTCTTACAAGCAGGGTACTTCGCATGAATTTGTCAACCCGTATTTTACCATAGGCGCACTGGTGTCTCTTGTACTCATTTGTCTCTTATATCAGTGTCTCTGATAAAGGTGTTCGAATGTAAAGTTGGACCCCTCTGTAAGAAACATGCACCGAGGAGCAATTTTTGTCTTTTATAGTATGAGGCGTCTCTTTTAAACAGCGCACCTCGTATGCATTTTCTGATCAGCCCTTATTTCTGAGCAGGCACTTGGGCGTCTCTTACACCCATTTTCATTTTACACTAGTGTCTCTAACGAAGGCGTTCCACTGCATCCGAATTCGTTATATAGAAGTTTGAGCACATACCTTTATAATGAACTGATTTTCGTGTAAGATGCTACTTTGTTATAATGAGGTTTGTGTGTGTAAATCCAATGCGAACTTCCAACGCACATGCAGTCCTCGAGGCGCTGAGTGGCATCCGCGGCCGACCGCTGATTGTTTCCCTGTGCCATGCGCTGCTGCTGGAAGGCGTTGGCGCGGTTGCCCCCACGCCCACCAAACTTGCCGCGCTTGGACAGGTTGAACCGGACGCCGCCCGAACCAGGAGCCTCTGTGGAAGAGGGACAGTGCAGACACTTCTTTGTACATGGACGATGAAAACAACATGGCAAAGCCAGATGGCATGGAGGCAACGACCAATTCTGCACCCTTACAGCCACACCCTCAGGCACTACTGTCAGCCTATATTTTTTCTTGATGCAGGACAAGGGCCTCTATGAATGATTTTGAATTTACCGCCCTGTGCGAGCAAATTCTAACCCATGCTTGCGTAATTCTCGATTTCCTCACCCAAACCTTTCGATGCGCTTAGCTTCATCTAGAATTTCCTAGCATCCAATAGAACCTAATAGATCAATCTCACTGCGAGTTGCACTACACCATCTCTATTTCTAGTGCATGCTGGTTCTTGGAGTACTAAGAACGTTAAACTGCATAGGCAGACTCCACACCTCTAGTTTGCACGTTTTGGGTCAAACAGGAAGGTCTTTAGCAAGTCACACTGTGAACCAAGTCGCAAGTGGTCATAACTTCAGCTCTTACACTGTACTTTAACAAAGTACTAGATCTATGAATTCATTGAGTACATGCACTGATTTGTTTAGTGATGGCTTGATAATACAACACTACGGAATTCAGTTACAGTTGACATCCGATTTCCCAGACCCTCAAGGGACCACGAATACGTCCGTAAAATCGGGCATTCCGGAAAAACGAATGCAAGCAAAAATACAGTTTTAAAGGGGGGGACACTGGCCTTAAAAGGCCGAAAATCGCAAAAAAAAAAAAAAAGACTAAAGTTGACATTTTCGGAATGTGCAACTATTTTTGCACTTATCTGAGAAGTTTCAAGCTTCTCGTGTCATTATTCTGGCACAAAATCAAGTTATAACACCCCTGTGAGATGAGCACAAATAGACGCTAAAGTCGTGCTTTTTCCACGCCAAACCGTTGCCATTAAACACGAGCTATCATGGTCATCTTGATCTCGTTTGGAAGGGTCGTTCTTCATCTTCAATTTCCCGTCACCAGCGGCTCGCCTTGCTCATTGGTTTTTCAGCAAAAACGCGTCATCGAGAAGCACCACCGCGCGATTCTATTGGCTGCTTGGGGCACGTGACAAAACCTAGGCACCCGATTGGCCAAGTGGCATTTCCGGCGTCTGCTTTTTCATCGTGACGCGCACGGACATGTGCCATTTTGTCATGGTTCTGTCGACCGCCTGCCGCAGTAAAGACGTTTTTTCGCCGCACTGATTTGTGAAGCGGGTGTGGTGATCGTTCGTTCGCTGTGAACTTCAGAAAGAGCCCCGCTATCACTCAGGACAGAGGATAACAAACTTGCGGCGTTCAACGGCGGTCGCCGAGTCACTGGTGTAGGCCTAACTCACGTACGAACCCGTCGGTTGTCGACGTCGCTGAAAGCGGCAGTGCTCTAGAGCTTCAACAGTTACACGACGGCAAGTAAAAAAGCAGAAGTGAAGCTGCGAGAGATTGATTGATTGATTTGTGGGGTTTAACGTCCCAAAACCACCATATGATTATGAGAGACGCCGTAGTGGAGGGCTCCGGAAATTTCGACCACCTGGGGTTCTTTAACGTGCGCCCAAATCTGAGCACACGGGCCTACAACATTTCCGCCTCCATCGGAAATGCAGCCGCCGCAGCCGGGAATCGAACCCGCGACCTGCGGGTCAGCAGCCGAGTACCTTAGCCACTAGACCACCGCGGCGGGGCAAGCTGCGAGAGATAGAATCTTTGCAACGATGAAACCGAAGTGCAGTCTTATCGCTAAACGCGCCGATGCCGCTGGTTCCCCCCCGTCCGACGTGACCTGCGTGACGGGTAGCCAGAGTGGAGTTCGCCGCGCGTCTGCAAACAGCAGAAAATCAATCCGTTTACGGTGAACGTGCTCGCCACCTGCGCAATGTAGGCTACTGGCAACAGGTAGAGTGCTTGTAACGACACATCCGCAACTATGAACATATTGCACCGCGGCCTCCACTCGAAAATGTGGCAATCTTACGTGAAAAGGAAACTAATACCTCGCTGCTCTTGGAGCCTTGAAATTGATGAGCAAATGCACGAGTTTGGTCTGCAACATCAACAACTTAATCTGGAGAAGCCGGAAAACTGCTTTATTATAGGACGGATCACGGATTACGCACGCACATAGGCATCACCGAACTGAGAAGCAGACGAGCACACGGCGACCGCATTAGCTCGCAAGTGTGCCTGTGCGAAAAACATGCAGTGGCCATTGAAAAAACGTCATTTAGGTGACGCAAAACAGAAGGACTACATGCCTGGTACCTACTGAGAAAGCTGAATTTGCAAATCCTTGTAAATAAACAGCTTTTCCATGCTATTGTCTGCCCAAAATAGACTTATATTTTCGCATGACTTCTCGAGATTCAAATTTTACTGCAGTTGCAGACTTGTCTAAAAGATCTCTGCCTCCAGAGCAGCTAGGACTGTCATTTTTGTTGTGACATGTAGCTGTATCTTCAGTTTACACAATGGTAGGTGTGAATTTTTGATTAAAATCTTCAAAAAATTTAATTTCTCCCAGAAATCAGAGCATAAAGTTGGCGTGTCTGCAATACTGGTGCAAGGTGTGAGAAACCTTACTAAAATTATCGAATAAAAAAAAGCATTTCTACCGTTGTGTAGCTTATGTTCATTAGTAAACATGTTCATTACTTATGTTCATTAGTAAATAGTAGCTCTGCAATACAAATTTCCTGTCTCATTATACTGGCAAACAATAGAAACAGTAATTGCATTTTTGAAATCAGCATCGAAAACTCAATGACACTGAATTTTCTTTATAAATGCATGAAAATATCTGACATTTCATCTCAAGTACAGTGTCCCCCCTTAATAGAACTTTTTCGCTGACTGAAAGCGTCACGGCAGGAATACAGGGTTCTCATGGCAATGTCTGGAATTTCGAGCGTCCGAGAAATCGGACAGACTGTAATTCGAACTCGTGACATTCGAATGAACAAGCTTTTACTGTACTGTCCGGTGTTGATCATTTATGACGGGCCATTGTGAAATATGCCAGGCCTCTCAAAAGAAAAAAGCTAAGCATGATGCACAAAGCAAATGTACCGTATTTACTCGATTCCACCGCGCCCTCGATTGTAACGCGCACCCGATTTCCACCGCGGGAAAAAAAAACGTAAGACATCGATTGCAACGCGCACTCATTTTTCTCGCTGGCCCGCACGATCACACCACTCAAAAAAACGACTCCTTTCGGGAGCGTCTTCCATTTAAATATGAGGTACGGGCGAAGCTTGTGCCCATCTGACGTGTAACAGCATTGCCGTCACTGTAGTTTTACCGTGGACCGATGTCAGCAAGCGAACTTGCTTCGCCTCCTTCTCGGCGATTGTGGTGCCAGGCATGTCGAAGTAAAGAGGCGTCTGATCGGCATTCCCGTTTTGCCCAAGCAGGTAGCCGTTGTTGCGCCGCAAGTTTAGGACGAACCTCTGAAAACTGAAGCTTTTCATCGTACTTTTCCGCAAAACTTTTCTCATATGCATGTTCCCCTTCGAAGGGAAAAGCCTTTCCTCTTCATAAAGTTAGTTAGCCAGCACCTGCTCACTTTAAACTGGCTCCGCATTAGACCTTTTTCTAAGGCTAACTGCATAGCCCGCACTTGAAGCAGTTCTGTCGTCACGGGCCGCTGTGCCGCTCGTTGCTCAAGCACATACTCGCTGAGCAGCTCTTTAATTCGCGGCAACCGACTCTGCTGTGGTCCGCTGAAGCCTTTGCGTGTAGCTTTGCTGTCGACAATCTTCTGCTTTTGTTTCCGCCGGTCCCGCAAGCACGTTTCGGGAACTCTGAATGACCGCGATGCAGCCCGAATTCCATCCGTTTCTGCACACGCGATGACTTTTTTTTTAAAAGCAGCATCGTGGTGCACTCGAGTTTTTGGAGTCGGCTCTTCCACGCCGTCGATGCTAATGCACTACTAGATGACGAACTCCTCAGCACACGTACGAAGTGCCGCACATGGGAAACACATAGGCAGAAATGGCCGACGCGGCATGCCGACGCACGTATGGGGCGGCCATTTTGGATTTGCCGATGGCAATAGATTGACAGTAATATTTTTGTTCGTACTCGATTCTAACGCGCATGTGATTTATGAACTCGCTTAACCGAAAAAAAAAAGGTGCGCGTTAGATTGGAGTAATTACCGTAATTGCATATTTCATGGTACGGCACAGGTCCAAAACTGGCCTGGCTTACATTTCAGTAGAGTAGAGCACACATTTGCACTCACGCTTTCCCTGCATGCCAGAGCCGAACTGCGCGGGACCACGTGGTCCAATGTCACCGTTGGGCCCCATGCCATTATAGCCGTAGTAGAAGCCGTAGCCAGGACCCGGAGGGCAATAGCCAGCACCAAAGCCGGGGCCGAAGCCAGGAGCGGGGCCCGGAGGGCCGAATCCCATGGGGGGCTGGGGTTGTTGCTGCTGCGGCTGTGTTTGTGCCTGAGTACCACCCGAAGGTGTCTCTTCGGAGGCACCACCGCCGCCCTCCTTCTCTGAAGAAGACGCCGCGGTCTGCTCTCCCGGAGGGGGTGGCGGCGCACCCGAAGCGGCCGACGAACTGGAGGTCGGAGGACCGGTATGACCGGCTGGCCCTGCACCGGGCTGGGGGTATGGTACCGACGCTGACGCCGGGAAGTAGCCACCGCCGTACATATTCTGGAAAGCACGAACATGGTGTGTAGGCAAAGTATTTCAGTGAAGATCCATAATGTGGATGGAGGTCATTCCCACCTCCCCAGCACAGAGCTATAAAAATTTTTTGAAGGTTTGATTGATATGTGGGGTTTATCATCCCAAAACGACCATACGATTATGAAAGACTCCATGGTGGAGGACTCCGGAAATTTCGATCAAGTGGGGTTTTTTAACGTGCACCCAAATCTGAGCACACGGGCCTACAGAATTTTCGCCTGCCACAACCAGGATTCGATCCCTTGACCTGCGGGTCAGCAGCCACCTTAGCCAATAGACCACCGCAACGGGGCAATTTTTCTAGGCTGCTTGGAAAGAAAGCTTCACTAAAATTTGCCCTCACAGTTAACTCACAGTACAAGATTGCTACCCACTCCCAGCGCTGGGTAGCAAACCAGATGCCAATATCTGGTTAACCTCCCGGCCTTTCCTTTCTCACTCTCTCTCTCTGCCCTGAGCAGACTTGCACCCGGGTTCAATGTCCCAAACTGAATATTTAACTGGAAACATTTCTTTGAGACATCCGTATTGATAACTGCTGTACCATTGTAAGAGACAGACAAAAATTTTTATTTCCATGGCACGATAAGTCACTGCACTCTAGCAATATTACAATATTGTGCCAAAAAAATCCTTGTAGTGACTTGTTCAATGACAGAGAGAGGGCACTAGCTTCTATAGCATCCCGGTAGCCCTGCATTGTCTACAAGTTGAAAACACCAGGCACACTCAACAAAATCTCACCATGTCAAGAAAACACCGTCAATCTGTTTAATTGTACGGACAAATCAGGTCAAGTTACAATGAACTTTTTTACCACATCACCAAAATTTTAAAGGCGTTATTAAAAGAAACCCTCAAACTACACATTAAGTAAGCGAAATTTTTTTCCCCCCTTTGTCATCAGCTATGTTCAGTTGTAGTGCTTCTGTAAAGCTGCAGTGTAAAATGCAAGTGCTTCAAGCAGTTTGCTAGATGCAAGCTACTCACAAATTGTGGGTAGAAGCCATAGCTAGCACCTCCGGGTCCTTGGGGAGGATAGCCATTGTACCTGAGAAAAAATGACAGTTACCTCAACAAATTTCACATGTAACAGAAGCAATATGCTAAGCCAAGTGACAGAGCTACTGCCAACAACACTGTGGAATTACTATCTCTACAATAATAATAAAAAAAATGAGTGCACTACAAATAGGAACACTTTGGACATCGAAACCTTAACACTGCTACGAAAAACAAACGACTCGAATAAATTGAAATAAATCCATTTCATAAGCAAAGACCTTGCAGTGGCTTGCCAGAAAGCAAACATGCACAGAGGGGCCCACTGTTAAAGAGAACACCAGAGCGCGCGTGTCTGCTCAGCTCCACCGCCGGCCGGCTGCGGCAAATAGTTGCACGCAAGAGCAGCCGCACTTGCCAGAGGCCTGTGCATACAAGGTTTGCGCTAACTCTCGCAACCAGGGCCAGTGGCCATTGCGAGAGTGCGCAGTATTGCCGGGAGAGACCTTTTCCCGACTGGCATGTCAGCGCATGCCATTGCCAGCTGCAACAAGCTCACGGCCTGCCCTTATAGGCGGACTGTCCGCGTGCGGGAGTCTTTGCTCCCCGCGTCCCACGAGCGGATGTTGTACTGTGCCTCGGGTGCCGCCAAAGGTTTGTGTATCGTTAAGATCGAACACTTGTTTGTTTGCCACACTTGGGTGGTTGAGCGCACGCGGAGCGATGCGCTATACGTGAGCAGGCGACGAAGACACGGCCCTGTGGCTCGCTAAGCGCCAAAGGTTTGTGTATCGTTAAGATCGAACATTTGTATGTTTGACGCACTTTGGTAAAGTTGAGCGCACGAGGAGCAGTGCGCTATATTTGAGCAGACGATGGAGACGCCGCCCTGTGGCTTGCTCAGCCTGAACCCATAATGATCTTTCGTTATAATGAGTAGTGAGGTTACCACACTGCGCAAGGAAAAAAAAAGTCATTCACGCCAGCCAATGGAAAACGCAGAACGGTGCTCTTGATAGGCGAGCCGGCTTTGTCGGCCGATTGGAGACTCCGTACGACGCTTTCGAAATGCGCGCCGAGTGAGAGCCAATTAGCAACCTGGGAACGACCTTCAGTAAACCCTGTGGGGGTGCTGACACCGCCTGTAAAGTTGTTTGTGCCGTGTGGCGCACGTCTCGACCCAAGGCCGCATTTCGGGTGACGACCGCCGGACAATAGATGGCGTTGTATTCGTGTTGAGTACCACTGTTGGTAGAGTGGTAGCGCCGACGGTGACCCCTGGCGGAAGGCAGGCCTTGGTGGCGGGCGAGAGTTCAGCGAGCCTCTTCTGCGCGTGGTGGCTGCCGCGAACGGTTGTCTCTAGCGGTGGGTTTGCAGTGGGCGGCACAGCGGGCCGCCTGCGGTAGGCCCACGTGGTGAGTGAAGCGTTGGCGACGCCGCCTTGGGTAGGTTAGAGTGTTTGTTGTGCTGTGTGTTTGTCGTGTTATTATGAAATGATGTCCTAGCGTGTTCATTACTGATGTATAATTGATGTATCGATTCTGCAGATGATATCGTCCTTCCAAAATTAGTTAAATGTATGTATGTTGTCTGGTTTGTACCGACCGCATCTACTGTGTCCGTTCACTCCAAGAGCGTGGCGTGGTGCTCGCCCGCCATTTCCAGACCCCACAACCCACGACAGCAGCCATTGTGCTTGGACGACACCATTTTGTGATAATGAAAATTACGCACAAAGGAATCTGCTTCACACCTAGCTCAATATTGCAGCGCTCGGTTCACTTCAATGTTCACGGTGCACGCGCGAACTTCGAAAAAATTAAATTCGTTTAGGGGCAACTTACTTTGCCAGGGTGCTTTGAAGGACCATTTCATTGCATTTCCCGATCAAATTCGGTGTTAATAGTTTGAGAGCAGGTGCTCAGAAGTACAAACGTCCCAAGAATAGCTTTTTGCAAAATAGGCCATGTTTGGTCGTTCCAAGACCTACGTGCCCCCTTAATTGAATGCTACGCACCCAGAAAAAAGCAGGAATAGTTCTCAAAAGTTACCCCAACACGTAAACGTTAACTTCAGGATGTACAGAAGGGGCCAATTCAAGCAAGTCTTTCCGTTCCTGTCGGTCATAGTTGCACAGTGCTCTACAGGTCGCAGCAACTCACCCCATGTAGCCAGGATACATGCATCCCTGCTGTGGCTGCTGCTGCCCGGGCCAGAATCCGAAGCCAAAGCCCCCGCCATAGCCAGGAGGAGCAGCCTGTTGTTCACTGCCTGTGGTGGACTTGCCAGTGTTAGTTTGCACCTTCTCGAGGGCCTTACGCGCATTCTCCCAAGCTTGGCTCGGGTCCATAGGCACAGCACCCTCCATTTCTTTGCTGCTGCTTTCTGCTTTGCTGCACGTTCATAAATAAGGCCTCAGACCAGTGGCTTTGCAGGCCATGCTTTGTTTCTAAGGAAGCAAGGGGACACAGTTTGTTGAGGCACTTCATGCTCATGTTAACACCACGAAAATTCGATTTAATCACCAAAATCAATACAGCACTATTAGATTCATTATTTGAAATGTTTGAATTTCAGGAACTCTTAGTGCATCCAAGTGTATCTCTTGGAGCAGCATTCATTGCAGTGAAATGCATTGCACCCCTCTCACTTCTGTCATTAGTTGTGAAAGCTTTGCAATGCTAAAATAACGTAAAAGAAGGACTGAAAACTGGATGCACTGCTCACTAAGCTCCAACCAATCAGTGGAGGCCAAAGCGGATAGGTAAATGCCTCGAGAATCGCGCCCCATTTTAACACAATGAAAGAAGAACAGATAAGCATTTGGAAAAAGCGAACAGGAGGCATAGGCATCATGTCAGAGTTTAAGCATAAGTTTCAACTAACGCCAAACAATTAGTCAAAAGATAAAACAGCCATTTATAATAGTCTTAAAACTGGTTACATTTTGCTTTAAGTAATCAATTTTGCAACATTTTGGCAAGCACCACTTGTCGAGCTAACATGCCGCACTTGCTTGAGTTAACGAATTCCATGGACTGGCATTAGCTGTGAGCATCATTCACTATGCTCATGTAGCCACAACAAAAATTGCATTAACTAATTACAATCCCTGCGAATGACATTACATGCACTGTGGAACTAGGGTGTATCTGTGGAGACAGTCCTTGCATGACCTTGTCTCACGTCACTTTTCTGGTTGATTGATTTGTGGGGTTTAACGTCCCAAAACCACGATATGATTATGAGAGACGCCGTAGTGGAGGGCTCCGGAAATTTTGACCACCTGGGGTTCTTTAACGTGCACCCAAATCTGAGCACACGGGCCTACAACATTTCCGCCTCCATCGGAAATGCAGCCGCCGCAGCCGGGATTCGAACCCGCGCCCTGCGGGTCAGCAGCCGAGTACCTTAGCCACTAGACCACCGCGGCGGGGCAACACGTCACTTTTCTGAAACAATGCCATCACACATCTCGCTCTGCAGGTTGTCTGCACTCAAGGACAGCATTGCACAGCCACCGCAAGCAAGAAATCTTGGAACAGTCAGTACACCTTAATTTGACAGCATCAGTGGTTGATTAATAATTATCAAAATAAAATCAATGCAGGTAACCCCCCGCATCGTGAACTGCCCAATAGTATTCAAATCAATAGCAACACACATGCGGATTCTGCTGGAGTACTGTACCCAAAAAAAAAGCTTGCTATTGTCCAGTTATCACTTTTTCTTTTTTTATGAGTTTAGTTACACACGTTCCTGGCACTTGGCAAAATTTTTTACAAGCACTCAAACCAACTGTCTGAAAATTTCTGAGAGCGCATTCACAAGCCTTCAAACAATGCCTATGTATCTCTAAGGGCCACAGCTCCATCCATTCTCTCATGAATAGCAGATAAAACAATGTAAAACAGCAACAGCTGTTCTGTGCTGCACAATTCTCAGAAGCACCCCCTTAGAGCTTTCTCAAATCGTGGCATAGCATTTGGTCAAAAAATTTTAGGCACAAAAAATACAGTAATGCATTCAGACGAGATCCCCTCGAGTTGAACTTCCAGAACCACCACAATCTCACCAAACTGACTTTTTTAAAAGCTGAACATAGTGCATACTATGCTTTCAAGGTAAAACAGCAATAACAAAGAATATGCAAATATACCACTGTCTCTCTGTCTTTTGTACTGTTTAATCTTGGCTAAGAAGAAACCAACTCTCCAAATCATCCTGATATACCACTTTTGCTTTGACGTACAACTCAGTCGCAGTTTGCAGCCCAATACATCAAACTGAATATTAAACTTCAATGTTTGAACAGGGAATGTTACTGGGCTAGTTAGTTTATTAATAGAGTAAAATGGCTGCTGCACTAATGTGACTGCGAAAACACCAACTGACATGCTCAGGCTACATGCGTCGTCATACATAGCCCACATGTACGCAAGTTCAAATCTCCACTTCGCACCAGTCATTTTAGCACTGCCGCTATTTCACTTCAACTACATCTTTTTAAACGTCACCATCTGGTTATTCGTGCGTCCACACTGCAGATCCCCCAGCGATCTGCACCCGCCTAAACTTTGGGGAAACACAGAAGCTCGAAGCTACAAGAAATTGTTCAACGAAAAATGTCACTGGGGGCTCGCGTTTCACAGTTCAAACATCGGACTAAGACTTCTTGCGAGATTCCCCCAACGCTGATGTAACGCCAACTTCAACAATCCTTCACCCACTCACCGCAACGCAGAAATGAGTTTTCCCTAAACTCACGCTATGTAGCTAGGAGGCATCTCGAAGGGACACCAAGGTCTCCTTTCAACGCGTTATCAAGTGCTCGCAAAAGATAAGGAATACAAAAAAGTGTCCGAGAAGTCTCACCGAGATTAAGAGGCCTGTCCAGCGTCGCAATGTGACGTAGAGACAACGGCCTCACTATCAGGCGTGGCAAAAACCTGCTACGAAGCCCACACCGAGAGAGCATCAGTTCTACTCCAACTATATGTGAGTGAAAGGTGCTGTGGCCATGGCGGATGCTTCAAAATCAGACGAGCTTTCCAAGCAAGCGAAGAGGCCAGATCTTTGGCTTCAAATGCCCACTTCAAGCTCTTTAGCGTCAAAAGTGAGTCCCGACAAAGCAGGACTAAAATTCTGAAGCGGGGTCTATCCCAACGCATTATAGGTAAAGGTGAGGTCACAGCTTCACCCTCGTTGGTCTCAGAAACATGTTCATTTCGGGTGGTGCCAACTTCAGAGATAAAGTGACTTTGCTCCATCTACCTAAACACTGGGTTAATTGTAACTGATCGATATTCCCTACAAGCGACTCAACGAGGTAGAGTATTGACGATATCCGATCAAGTTTGCCTTGAGTGGGGTATCTTAATGAAACCCGCAACAAAAGCACATGTTGGGCCCAATTTTCGCCAAAACAGTGCCCATATGAAACTGGTAGCGCATGCAAGAAAACCACAGTTTCCTTCACTGCGTCTTAATGTCATTAAGATGGATTCCTAGCTTCACTTTTGAAGAATAACTTCCACCAAAGCAACATTTTTTTTTTTCTTCATATCTTCCTTGATCCGAATGGTATGCCTGCTGCTTTTTAACGGTGTTTATCTAGTATTAGCATACATAGCAAAGCCTGCATGAGAAGCAGCGTTTAATACCATGCTCAGTACCACAAATGAATGAATTCCAGAAACTCCTATTATCTGTTTTATCCATCAGGAGTAGCAAACGAGTAGTCGGAATCAACTTGTCTAGAGCAGTCGAGCGCGTGGCTCTCGATACCGTCCAAAGCTACTACCTCCCGTTACCTACAGGCTTCCGTTCCATGAATCGTAGCACATGTAGCGTGCAGTACAAATATGTTTGCTATCACAGAGGCATTGGGTCTCCGCATATATCAACAAAAACAGCAGCTGATTGGCCGCTCTAGTCAAGTGTGATTCAAACCGTGTCAGCAGTTCCGAAGAGGGCATGAGGGGCTGTGTTTCGGGTGCCAAGTTCACCACCATGCAAATTCGACTCTGGAATTATAATCTTTCAATTCCGAGTGTTCTTTATCTGACAGACAGTGGTGAGCTCTAGTGAATAGGTGGCACTTTCATTAAGGCTTATTATTGAGGGAGTACATCGCTGAAGGACGGAAGTGCTTACATATGTGACCACGGTGTGAAGACGACTAGCGATCGCCCTAGATTCCAGTTTACGGAGAAGCGCCCCGTATAACTGTGCAAAACAACGAAAGAAAAAAATGGCAGGTACCACAGCCTCCCCAACATAGGTGTCTTCCGGAAGAGCGATCGCATTGTTCCCACAGCCCCCACGAAACAAAACCGCGACGTCTTATAACAAAAAGAGACGCAGGTGCTGAACAAAACAGTTCGCGCGGCAGCATTTTCACAGATGCGGCGGCGACTCTCGTCTCGCCCGCTATGACGCTGCAGCAGCAACACGGCTAGCTGTGGTCCTGCTGCAAGAACAATACAAAGGCTCTGCTCCTACGCCCCTCCCCTCCCTCCTCCAATCGCTTTCGAAGAGTGCATGTCAAACTGCTTGTACCACGTACTGAGCTGCGCGAGTCCAAGGGCCAACTAGCTCACGAGTTGGCACCGTTAATGACAACTGAGCAGCTAGCGCAACGCCAAGGAGAAACAGGCACTCCTGCGAGACGAAAGTTTGCAGTTTTGACCGTGTGGCTTGCGTCAAAAAAAAAAAAAGAAGGCACCCCACTGCGAATCAGGTAAGCGGGGGAAAGAACACATTGACAAGTTAAGAGTTGCGTAGTGCTAGCGAAATCTGTTGTTTTGCAAAAGCATGCTTTGGCGCTAACTTCCCGAAACAGGGTTAGAAAAAGAGCAGGCCGAGCGCGGCGTCGGGGCACAGGCGCGCTAACAGAAAAGATGAGGAGGCTCTAAGCACAGCTTTACAAATTATAGTTTAACACAGCGGGAGGCCAGTTGACGAAAGAAATTAACAAAAGTTCTCGGCACAATACCGGAATGTCTAGGCCTACTTTGGGGCGGCCCGACTTCGTGGCGGTGACGTTACGTCGGCGTCCCGTATCTTCGATGCCGAAAGGTCGACGGACGTTAACGAATGGCTTCAGTGACTAACGAAACGACTCTTGCGAGAAAACGAAGCACTTACTCCCAGGGAATATGAGTTGGCGGTTGCTCGTACGCTTGCACTGCGGTGGCCATCAGGGTCACGAAGGCGGTGCTTCTCTGAAAGACCTAGCCCGAGAAAACATTAAACGCTGCAAAACGCAAACACACCGATAACTAAATCAAAGCCCGACAAAGCGACAATATCGAACCGAACGCAATTCGATCCTGCAAGAAAGACAAAGGTACTTTTTTTACACGCTTTGGCAAACTGCACAAATAGGCCACGAACTGCTCGCGAGACGAGATTCACGAACGCATGCGCAGTTGTGCGTTTCGCGCATTCGCGTTGCTGCATCCGCTACAAAAAGTAGTTCAAACACTGGGCGCTTCAATCGGTTTTAAAATAAAATTGCGGTTTACGCAAACACAAGTAATAACGCAAAAGCTTATTTATTGATAACTTTAGAAAAAAATTTCAAGCAAAGTTTGAAACTAGAGACTGCCGTCCAGAAATGACTAGCGCGGAGGAACACGCCAAAACAACCTGGCAGACGAAGGAGCGCGTGAAGGAACGAGGGGGCGCACGGCAAGTCCAAGATGGCGTCCACTCAAGAAGAAGAGCAGAGCTTGCGCGAATGCGAGCTTTACGTGCAGAAGCACAACATCCAGAAGTTGCTGAAGGACTGCATCGTTCAGCTATGCGTGAGCAGGCCCGACAACCCGATATCCTTCCTCCGGGAGTACTTCGCACGCCTGGAAAAGGTAATAGCCCCCGCCCGAAAACGAAACGTTCTACCCCCCTCCCACGGTGCAGTGCTTCCAAAGCGTCGCGACTCGCAGACAAAATAACAATAAAATTACGCCACGGACACTCGGTTCGAGAATTGTCCGCACGATCGCGCGAATTATCTCCCTCACGGGGCGATCGCCGCGTATCGCGAGGCTTCGATCAATCGTGAACGGATCGGCATTCTTGTTTTTCTTCTCCCACGACGTCCTAGGTTTCGCTTACGACGGAGTTTACGGCGGTGCCCTAGGCCTTTCAACCGTGCCCTTGCCTTCGCCGTGCTGTGCAAAATCGCACGCGTTCCGATTGACTGAAATCGGACAGAACGCGTCGGTGGTGGATTGTCGGTGACGGGATGTGCTTGCGTTGAGTTCCGCGAGCCCGCCGTTCGTGTGAGCTGTGTGGCGTTGCCGGCGAAGACATGGAATTCGTGTGATGATGCCTTGACGCGCGGACGCGACGTATAAATAGTACGTCAACTCCCGCACCCTTTTTCCTCCTGTTTTTTTTTTTTCAAACTCAAAGTTTCGAGTATAGCTTTTTTCTTTAATGTTTCATGGTCGCCAATGTACCGCGTTCGGCCCGTTATAAGTCGTAGTCTTGAGAGAGTGAAAGAAAAGTGCCTGTTGCCGCTGTTGTAAAAATAGGGTGAAGAGAAGCGAAAAACACCCATTTTATTCGCACAGGACCTCTTGGTGAGGTTCTCTGGGCGTGCGATGTCGCATTGAAAGAGTACCACCGTCGGATGTCTAGCCGATCGACTATTTACGTAAAGGCAATGCCGCCTAGAGTGGTCGAGGGATCGGCGGGTTTAGTGCGCAACACTGAAATCCACTGTTGATTTGCCGGCATCGCTCTTTCGTTCCTGTCATTCCGATTTCCAGAAAACTTGACGTCCCCGACCGGATCGGCTACATTCGAAATTTCCCTCGAATCGAAGAAATGCAAACCGCGTTGCTGGTTTCGCTTTTGCAATCTGAACGCGGCCACTACGACGTCTCTCACAATCGTATGGTGGTTTTGAGACGTTAAACCCCACAAGTCATTGACCTGAACGCGCGCTAGTTTCAGATTTATTTTGTGCGTTTTGAGGGGGTGAACGGCTGGGGGCGTGGGGATAATTAAGTTTGCCATTCGGTTGCTGTTTGCGTGGTGCAAAGGTATGTGCCTTGCAAAGGCGTTCACGCTATAGCCCGGTATGTCAGAAGTGATCGTTTTTTTTTTTTTTCAAGCGAAGCTTTCATTGCCTCTTTAATTGACATTGTACGTTTGATAGCCAAAAAAGAAAACGGCACCCACGAGTGGCGTGTATAGCAATGCTGGTGTGCTCAACAAATGAGGCCTTCGTAAGTGCACTGGCTACACGCGTGTTTGTATGCGCCGTTTTCCGATAATCGATGATCTGTCGATCTGCGTTTTGTCGCCGATCGGATGTTTCGGATGCGGCAGTCCGATCCTTTATCGACGCCGCTTGTCGTTTCGTATTTGGCACAGCTTGTTGATACCTGCAGCAGCTGAAATGTTGCGCTGCCAAACACGTGCATGAAGGTACAATGTCCCGGACGGGAGAAATCGCCCGATTGAGATGCCGCCCTAATGCAAATTCTGAGCGCGCAGCTTCGTGTTTGGGCGAAGTTATGCTGTGTTCTCCCATTGACGGAACTTCTTTTATTTGCTTTCTGACGTCATTTCCGTGACCGAAATACGTCACTGAGTCTTGGTGGACTCCCGGCATAAAACACTTTAGTGTTGAAAAGTATCGACTTTCCTCAAGATATCGACTATGCCATAAATTGTAGTTTTTGTGGAGTGCGACAGCATTAACTACGCCAATGTTCGTCTTTCTACAGAATAGCGAGGTACCTGTCGCACCATAGTCTTCCAAAATTAGCTGGCGCTGCGGGCTTAGTGACCATGGGAATGATGGGTAGTACATGAATTCGCCTAGTCTTCCGGCTTTCAAACGCACTTGTGGCTTTGCTTATTGCTGTGTTTTGATGCCGTTTCGAATGAAAGAACGGACGGTTGTGAATTTCATGAGTCGATCTGAAATGGCGAGCCTAAAAGCTTGAAGGAGTGATGCCACCAAATTTGTGGCATGCGTGTTTTTCGCTGTAAGCGTTTCCTTCAGCCCCAAGAAGCATGATGCACGCACCAAGATTCGTGTATTTCCGCTAAATAATTCAATATTGCTCTACTTATGTGGACCGGTTTCGCAGCACCGAGTTGGGCAGTGACGTCGATACATAGGTGGCTTGGCCACGTGATCACTCAAGGCTGTGACGCGCATCGTGCTGAATTTCGTCTGCTCTCACACACAGGTGCCACACAAGCGGCAGCAAAACAGAACGCCTTCGCAGGTTTCGATGCGTAGCACTTAGCCAAAATGTAATGGAAACTCTGCGAGTAATACAGCAACCGATGCATTGCTGGTACGTTGGGTGCGCTCGTTTCGGAGATAGGGGAGGTCACTCACGTCGCGACAGACCTGGGGTGGCGTCACGACAACTGCCGTTGCTTCTCCTATTCTGAAACGTCAGTGCTGCTGCGCAAGCGATGTCCTAGATCACGAGAGTGAGCATTCAGCTACACTTTTGGAAGTGATATGAAATATATTGTACGTGTTTGTAGGGTCCGACCCTTCGTGTGGAGAGTCCTTGTATACAGAGGAAATCCACAACAAGCTTGGGATAGCCTCGAAATTTGGTGGCACCACCCCTTTAAGGTAGTGAAGTGCAACTGCTAAACAAGTGCTGATTTTTAGATGCGGAGCATCTTATACTTGCGCCTTGTAGTGCGCCGTCCGCACCGCTTCTCGAACATTCGACAGCTGACGCGCGCGCATGCGCCGTCGCCCACTCTTCCACCATCTGTGCATCCCTTCCTCCTCTACACACCGCGCGCGCTTCACTCCTCCACCATCTGTGCACCCTTCCTCCTCTACACACCGCGTTCGACATCTACAATTCTCCTGATTCTCCAGTGGACGCGCATGTGGCGTCGCGCTTCGAGAACATTCAACAGCTGACAGTGCATGCGCCGTCGTGCTGTATATATACTCAAGGTCGGCGCTTGCTCGCTCAGTTGCCACTCGTCGGTTGGTTTGTACGGCGCGTCGACGTCCAAGGTCGCGGTGAAAGGAATTCCAACGAATCCACAAACACAATGATCGACGTCCCTTCGACCAGCGCCGCCCTTTCGCATACGTGTGTACGTGTTCACTCATTTAACACCCCCTCCTACAACCACGTTAACCAATTTAGCCATCGACCCAAGTAAGTCGCAATTTAACACCCCATTTCACAACCACGTTAACCAATTTAGCCATCGACCCAAGTAAGTCGCATTTTAACACCCCGTTAACCAATTATATGCTCCGCATCCTCCTCAGTGTTCCCCCAAGGGAAGCTGCGGGCAATTTTTTGTTTTCTGACAAAGCTTTAAGCCATGCAAAGCCACACAGAGCCGAAAGTACGAAGATTACACAAATCTGTGTACTACCCATCATAGATTTTCCTAAATTTAACTAGAAGGGACTCTGGCGCTTTGATCGTCCGGCAACCATGGGATTGATGGGTAGTACACGTATAGGCCTAGTATTCATACTTGCGGGTGGCGAATCGCACTTGTGGCTTCTTCTATAGCTGTGTTTCGGTTTTTTTTTTTTTTTGAAGGAAAGAACGAACCTCCCATTGACGCTAGCGCCAGAGTTCCCTCAAGTGTATTTATAGAAAACACTGTGTGCTGCACATCTGTAAGGTTTCACGAGCACTTAGTTTCTGTCTGCATGTGGTTGATGTCGAAGTGTAGCTGGGTGCTTTGCAGTGGGTGGGAAGTGTCAGAAACTCCTCGTTGCGCAGTTGCGGTTGTCCGATTACCAATTGCTATTTTACTTTTCTGCCACACTACGTTATATAGTTTAACTCAATTCCTTGCCCAGCATGAAACCCGTGTAGTGCCTTCTTGCAGTTGAGTTTCGCACACCAGGTGGCTCTGTATTTGACTGCCTTGCAAAGGGCCCTTGTTCAAATCTCATACGGTATTGTTTTTTTTTTCTGATTTACTTTTTTACCTCTATTGGTCTTACCATAGATTGTAATGTCACTCAACACAGGAACGGGCTTTTAACAGCTGTGCACCTAACAGTAAGGTGGGAGTGCGGCACAATACCATGGAAACAAAAAGTGTTCCAGACACGCTCATACGAAGCCCCACTTGCTATCACTTATTCTGATAGCACAACGTTTTTCGGTGACATAAATGCGTTACTTTTTCATGCATTTTTGTTATTTATACTGGGCAGAAGCTAAAGTGGCAGCAAAATTCCTGAAAAAAGTAATAACCACCGCCAAAGTCGCTGTGAGTCTGCAACAGGAAATGTTTTGAAACTTTCAGTGCTCACAAAAGTAGTCGTGCCTCTGGGATACAACATCCGTCGGTCAACCAGTGTAAAGGTGTCATCTCGGCTTTTGAAATATTCTTTGCTGAAGTTCACTACGTACACCCAACATCAAAAGATTATGGGATGTTGGTACCATACCAAATTTGTATTTCTGCTCTATTAGTGCGTAACTTAGCCGGTGACTGTGTAGGCCCTGCATGCAAGCTGCTAGCAGTGACCACGTTAGTACATTGGCAGGTATATCAGCTTTGGAGAGAAGAAAAAAAGACAACCTTTGAGTTAGAGTCATTATGTAGCGTTGTGCATCAGCCATAATTATGGCTGATGCACAACTTATGGGGCATGCCCTTTCATCTTTATATGGCATAGTGAGCAGTGCATTACCTTGCTGCAAAACTGCTAACATTAATTGATTTATCAAACATACAGCTTAAAGGAGCACTGAGAACCAGGTAACTTGTGCATACAGGTTAAAGGAGTATCTACGCAAAATTTGAAGGCGATATAACTGTGTGATAAATTTGTGTTGACACAAATGGGTTATCTATAAAGTATCAACATTATATATAGGTAAGAACATATATAAAATCACTTTTGAAAGTGTGTGCCATGCATGTGAATGCAAAACGGAGCACCTCTCAATATCAACATCTGCTTGCTATTAGTGCAAATAACTAACAATTGCCTACATCACAAGTTTGTATTGGCTGCCATGCAGTCAATATCAACATCTGCTTGCTATTAGTGCAAATAACTAACAATTGCCTACATCACAAGTTTGTATTGGCTGCCATGCAGCTGCACTTTCCTTTAACTTATTGCACATGTGAAAGTGAGTAAGAAGCTGCAAGTTTCCCGACGTGTGTAAAAGCTTTGAGCTTGACAATTGCACACTTAGAAGGTAAACTGCGCGTTGAGCGCATCAAATGGACGAAGCCATCAGATGCACTACTCGTCGATCCTTGAAAGTCGCAGCGCAGGACAGCCGCCTCACAGACCTGCCTCACATTGTGATTGCACACCCACATGGTACAAGGCCAGCAATGAATGTGTGCAACACTCCCAGATTCGATGAATAGAGCTTGCGCACTAGTACTTCACTGTAACAAACATGTTTGTAACCAATTATTGCTTATAGCAGTGTAAATGAAGAATAGTCTTGTAACGAAAACTAAAATAACACTGCGAACGGGATTGAACACAAGTACTAGAATAAAAAGACATGACATGTGCATATTCACGCTCACACTCTTTATATTTTTTCTGTCCCAACTTGCAGTTTTACTCCAGTCTGACTGTCGTACCGACTAGCCTCTCCAAGCATTGTTCTTTGGTCTTGTCATAGACATAGTGTTGCGAATAGAAAAGACTTTTCAGATAGGATGACGTTATTCAGTGTTAGACGCAACCTTTTTGTAACATTAGCGAAGATGGGAGCATCTCACCATGATTCCGCTGCTTCAGCGTTGGCTTGGCATGCCGGTAACCGTCTAGGGCAGCGGTAGGTTCCCGTCGTGGCTGGGCCCACGTTTGTCGGGACTCGTGGGCTTTTCGTCGCGCCAGTTGTTTCGGAATTGTTCCTCCTCACTCTCCTTTTGAACTCTCTCCCACCCGGGTGTCATGGAGGAGGGTTGCGTGTGTCGAGGACCTTCTCGAAACTACGTGCAGGTTGGGAGAGTAACGTGTGCAAAGCGAGGCTGGCTCGATGTCGTGGAGGCAAAACGAAGAGACTGCGCGACAAGGAGAAAGTGAGGGGTGCTTTTTAGTAGAGGATAGCAGTGGCATTCGTGGGGCGATGCCAAGAGAGCGGAGAACCCTGGTGCCTTCTTATTTGAGGTTGCCACGGGTGGGGGTGGTGGCATCTCGGTCCTCCCGAGTTGGGGTGAGGAGTAGGGGGGGGGGGGGGGGGGGTCGCCTCCATTTTTGCGTGGACGGCGCGCTCATAACGCGTCTATTTGCGGGTTCGGTTGGTGGCAGCGTGCCTTGTGGCTGAACTGTATCGGAGGCTTTTTGTAACCCGTGGCTTGGGAACTGCAAAGGCCTTGAATCGGGGCAGCGAGTTTGAGCAGTGGTGTGCCCCGCGTTGCCGCGATTGTCACATGGATCGACTTTGAATCTCATCGGCGCGTGCATTGCCTCTACGCGCAGCTGCGACTTTGCCTTGAGTTGTGTTTTTGAGCTTCCTTTCTGGCACTGAGCCCGTGGTTTGAACGTGTCGCATCTGCACGAGCGCACCTTCGACTAGTTGCTCGTCAAATTTCCGTTCGTGAGTATTTGATAGTTAAATGGTCGTCGCAGTTGTGTTGTCGGGCAAGTGCTTTGCCCTCGCCGTGCACCTTCCTTGGAATACGTCCGTGCGTGATCTCTACTCTCAGATTCAAGCCGGGTGTTGCAACCCATTAAAACAGCTCGTTAGGTGACTACTAACGAGTGATTGAAGATTGCCGTGTGCATGTGTGTGCTGCGCATTGCACATGATCACTGTCACCGTGTGCCTTACTCGGAATATGTCGGCGTGCAAGGTTCCAGTTTTTTGTCACGACTGAAAAGTGTTGCTTCCATGGAAAGTCTCTCTGTACACAGACTGCCTTAGAAGCTTGTGTCTGGTCTTTAACCACCTGTTTTAGGGGCGCTACAGCTCCATTATTAACAGCAGAACCTGTTATAATGATGGTTATACAAAAAGATATTTTTAGATGGATCCAGGTCATTCAACATACTGAAATTGGGCTGTAGTAATCTTTCGTTATACAATCATTGCGTGTGGATATGCCACATTCACCGCAGGAAAGACAGCGAATAAATCTACTTCTGGAAACGAACTTCTATGTAGGAAGTTGTTTATATATGTTTTTTACGTGCCTTGGAACTTTTTAAAATTTTTACTGGGAATGGTGTCACTGACCACACTTGACTCAAATGAATAGTATCTATTTGATATGCGGGGTATGACTCAATGCTATTCATTTGCATCAAGTGTTGTCAGTGATACCAATCCTAGTGACGATAAAAAAAGTTCCAAGGCACGGAAAACAAAAAAGATATGAATATTATTGATAGAAAATTGGATAGCAGTGCACTGATAGCATTTAATAGTAAGTGAATAGCATTGACTTACTCAGAGAGTGATATTTATCAAGCCCAAGTATGGACATATGTAGGGTTCATTAAAGTTGTTAAGGGGCAAGCCGTTTCTCATGTACACTGTGAGCGATCTGTGTGTGTATGTCTATTCTACATTGAGAATTAACCACTCGAGTTACTGTAGAGTGATAAGAGTATTTGCATGATGAGATATGTTTTTTTTACTATAACGATAGTTAGGACTAATTGCTCATCAATGCTGCGTCATGCGCTGAAAATATGACCGCTAAAGCTAATGTTGACGCTGATGCACAAAATATGGTCAAAATTATAAACACCGTGGTAGTGCGTGGCAAACAGCTCCGCGACGCCTTCTAACGGCTATCTGCAAAGCTCGATAGCGTGTATTGTGTATGTGCATTTTTTTTTGTGTGTGTGTGTATTTAACCAGCCTGCTTTTTCACTACCTTCATGTGCGCGCTCAGCGGAAGGCGTGAAAAAGCACATGTTACTTCTGCAATCGCTGAGGAAGCATTCGATGGTATCGCGACTAAAATACGTAATTTGTACTGCTGGTGCTCAATGCACGCCGCATTCTACACCTTCGTCTTAGATGTTCCGCAGCGATTAAAACATGCATGTGCTGTCAATTTTTTTGAAATCGACGTGGAATAAGATTACCGAGCAGTGATGTATTTTGTGTTCTACATCGGCGAAGCACGCCATGTATGTATTTTTGCTGCCGTAAAACGTATGGAATCAAGGCAGAGTGGTGTGCACCGAGCACTTCCAGTACAAGTTATGCCCATGTCATAATATCGTCGGCCGGTGCTTCCGCGCTGACTGAAAAGGCTACACCTTGCACTTTTTTCTTGGTGTTTCGAAGTGCACGCACTTGAAAGGTGTGAAAACAGCGGGCTGGCAGGTAACAAATTATTGTGCACAGTGCTTGCTCTCGAGCTTCTCTGGTAGCTGTAAGAAGGCACCATGGTGTTATTTGCCACACGCTCCTGTGGTCTTCAAAATTTTGGCCACCACTGTATGTGCTGGAGTCAAAAGTATGCCCATATGACAAACTGTAGATGCTGGAATGCACATGCATCACCCAGCCCTGAATTTTCATCTTTCAGTATGCGAGTACCGTACAGCTCTGCGGACGTGCGGTGCGTTCTCATGCCTCTGATACCGACTTTTCCTTACATTCAGCCTCAATTCTTTGACACATGGTAGCACCTACACAGCAAGTGTTAATAGATGTGCTTGCATCAGTTCACCTTCATGTCAGTATGCAGGGAGTTGTTACTCACCATAACCGGCTGTAAAGTAGTGCTCATTTGAAGATGGTCCATTTTGTCCCCTTTTACATCTCATACGGCCTTGAGAGCTCAGTGAATTGGCTCGATCTTAAGCTCGTAGCATATTGCAGCCGGCCAGTCCCTTTGAATGATAATGCAGTAATCGGCAAGATATCCAAGAACCATGCGAATACTGTCTTGTGCCTTTCCAAAGTGTTGATGTGCTTTCAACCCATCAATATGTTCAACCTAGTACATCCCTAAGATACTCAGTGCCCACATATGCGGGTGCAGCTTGTTTTTTCCAATTCTTCAGCCTTGTGGCCAAGAAGGAGCTGGTACATTTGCCCGTGGAATAAATTGAACCTTTCGTGTAGTCGGCATATTTCGGCTTGGTGTTGATATGTGGCATACGATTGTAGGTTACCACTGTAGTGAAGGCAAGCAGGCATTCCAGATACAATGTCGGACATACTATTATTCTTTGCTCAAAATAAGTACAACCAAATACAAATTGCACTTGATCATTTTGAGCATATAAAGTTCATTCTTTTTATAAATATAATCGGCCGGTGCTTCCACAGTGACTGAAAAAGCTAAACCTTGCACTTTTTTCCTGGCATTTCAAAGTGCACGCACTTGAAAGGTGTCAATTTTCAAGGATTGAAAATGGCTATCAACCAAATCATAAAATGTTTAATTATGATTAATTATTGAAACTTGTGGAAACAGAAAACAATACTTTATTTTGTTTCTTTGAATGTAATACTGAGTGCCTGAGAACTTGGTTGTTCAAATTTGACACATTTGCAGACACTCCCATAACTCACGCAACAAGGTGATATGCAGCAGCTTCACCCAGAATGCGAGTACTCTTGTGCAACTGGGATGAGATGCACTTTCAAGATGTGCATTCAAATTTATTCGATAGCCTTCCCTCCCTAGCCCTGGCAGCCCTTGTTGACTACGTCTTACTTGGCATGTCAACTCCTAACCTGAGGTCATTTTCTTCCATTGGTCTTCAGTATGATAGGACAAAGGATGCTTGGGGGGGTATGATGCAGCAACCGCAAATCTTTCTGTACTCATTCTCAGTCATTTGCATCGTTCCTTGACCTGCGTACAATGAAGGGTCTTGAACATCATCTTTGCTTATTATCCGTTCGTTTACTCATATTGTTGCATGTGCGCCTGCTTGCTGGTCTTGCAAAGCCTCAATGCATGCTCGAGTAGGGGCCACAGTTGTTATGATAGCCACGCTCCCAGCTTGGCAGACTGATATGTAGAAGAAAATTCTTGCTCTTGGATTCCAGCTGGACGGCTTGCGTTGTCTTCAGAGAATGTCAGGAAAGTTTGTTGCACTGTAAATGGTGCAAAAGGGAAACTGCAACCACGCTTCTTCCACCAAACAGCCGAAGTAGCTGTGACCGCAACAGCGGTGGAGTATAGATGGAGCGGTGCATGCCTGTGCCAACACGGGTGCTGTTCAGGAAGTTTGTTGCATGTGGCTGTAGATGGGTGCAAAAGGGAAACTGCAACCACGCTTCTTCCACCAAACAGCCGAAGTTGCTGTGACCGCAACAGCGGTGGAGTATAGATGGAGCGGTGCATGCCTGGCTTGCACGGCTGAACAAGAATATGGGCTACAAAAGCGATGCCATTTTGGCTATTTGGTTGAAAAACGATCACGTAAATTGTGCATGTTCATACTAATGCTTTGCGATTCAAAACCTTCGTTCCACCATCCATTCTGGTCCGAAACATTTAAAATGAGAAAAGCACTGCAAAGGTGAAACAGTTTTAGTTATTTTTTAGAGACACTAATTATTACTCTTTTAGAGATGGGACCTAATGCAGTGTGAAAATGCGGTGTGAATCCACTGTTAGATAGCTTCTCCGTCGGTGTGCAATGACGGACCACTGCGGCTGTGTTCTGTTGTCAGTAGGGGCTAGACAGTGGTCCGCAAAAGGTCCTTACAGGGTATTGAAAAGACAGAAAAGCTCAGCCTTTGCACGCATGTGGCAGCTGCTGGCATGCTGAAAAGGTGGAGTCTGTACCTACCACAACCTGAGTACGGGTGCCTTTATTGGCCTATGTGGAAAGCGTACTTGCTGCAAGTACACCTGCTGAGCGTGTCTAAACATTGCCGCGATGCAGGAGGCAGCCACAAGAGCCAAGCAACAGCAGCTCTCGCCCATGGCGACCACACCTCCATGCGAAGAGAAGGAGGATGAGCTGTCGCCACTGCCCGTGCCTCCCCAGCGAAGCCGGCGTGGGGCGGTCAGCGCAGAGACCTACTCCGAGGAGGACGCCACGTCATACGTAAAAAAGGTCCGTGCCACACTGCGGTTATGACTCCTCTGTCTCAGTATCACTCCTCTGTCACCCGCTGCAATTGTAGTGGGAGCTGTTGCTCTATAATCTCTTAATCGGAGAATTTTAGTTTGTTCGTAAACTTGTCGTTCGTCTTTTGTAAGCTTCTTGTTATTCTTGTCAGGTTACTGACGCTGGCAACAACATGTCGTGAGGTAGACTTTAATCAGAAACACGCCAAATTGATGTTGCAGGGCACATTCTACACTGCCATTGATATAAGGCTTGTTAGTGCGATTAGGATTAATGAGTAGTACTTTTATTCGTTTTCTATAGACAAAAGCTGATGCAGCGCAAAGTATTCTTGATACATTGTACTTGAACACAATGACGTTTCTTTAGCAAAATTGTCTCAGATTGAACCCAAACCCTTTCTCGCACAGTGCAATGCACTTCGCAGTGATCTTTGCAAAGGCTGAGCTTCTCTGTTTTGTGTTAACACACTGTAGATGGTGCCCAAGGACTATAAGACCATGGCTGCACTTTCGAAGGCCATCGAGAAGAACGTCCTGTTCTCACACTTGGACGACAACGAGCGAAGGTAAGTCGTGTGATCCACGGGTCTCTACGTAAAACTGTAGCCTGAAGTCCTTTACAGAAGGATTGCCCCTCTAACATTCAGAGGGAACGGTGTCCTAAGAATATCAAGACTCTGAAGTGATGCCGAAAATTTCTTAGCGGCATCGCGTCTTATTACACAGGTTAAATGCACATTTTAAAACTACTCCTATGGGTAGCACTTCCGTTATGTTCGTTGTGCATTGTCAAAGCAACATGAAACGACTCAGAAAACAAATTCAGATAGTCCCACTTATTGAAAGCGTGGCTGTCTTATGCAGCCCCCTGCACAACGTGGAACCCTTCTACCTAATTTTCCTTGCGACTTCCTATTTGAAGGCCGACATGGCAGTTTTTACTCTGTTGTGACATATGTTTAATTGGAACTTGGTGACATGCATGCTGAAAATAAACTTCAGTTCGAGGCCATTTTTACAAATTTCTGTCAATTTGCCAAATGGTTTTGCTTTTCCTGCAATGTCCCCACCTCAAAAGGTTGCCAACCCTGGTTTTATTTTATTGGATAAAAGGAACCATGTTTTCCCCATTAAATGCGGATTTTGTATTTTTATTGCCTCACTGAAGTGGTAAAATATGACTCGTTATGCCCCACGTGGAAGAACAATGAAGATGCATATGATCTCCATCACATCAACTTTTAGGGGTGTATATTGGTAATTGTCTATAAGTGCTGAAATGCAATACACTCTTATGAACGCGATAGCATTAAAGAGCTTGTTTCGCGGAAATTCCGGCATCTGTGCTGGCGTCGTTCGTCGTGAGCGAAAAATCATCATTTTGTCTGTGAATAAAAAATCGAGAAAGTTTCAAATAAAATTAGCCATTAAAAACCTTCGGGTCCGAGTGAGGACTGAATCAAGGCTGTCTTAGTGGCAAGTAGATGTTCTATAATAGAGTCACGAAATTTATTGAAACTGCTTTAGAAAGAACGCTATAGGAATGTCATGTAGTGGAAGGAGTCTCCTTAATGCATATATTATTGTAATCTTTCCTAACTTAATATGTGTCGACATGCCCTCGTGTAACGTATGATCCAATGTTCATAAGCGGCCGCATGAAAATTGTTAGCTTTGGGGCTAGCTGCACCTGCCTATGAGGTATATATCAGTACGAGAAGCACCTGGCTTGCAAGGCGGTAGAGGTACTTCACGGGGCAGTGAGCATTCAGAAATTTTATTCTACCTGCTTTTTATTTATATTATACTTTAAAATGGTTGAAAATGTCAAATAAAGGTGGTTATGAAGTTTCATATCATATCATAAACAGTGTTCAGAACGAAACATATGAAAAAAATTTTATTTTATATGCTTTAGAAGGATTATTGGGTGCTGTCCTTTGTTAATATGTACGCTTTGTAGATGTGTGTGCTTTACACTACAATCAGCTGTTAGTACTGTCCTCGCACATGGTCTGTACTTAATAAGTGAAACATTACTTTGTATTGTGATGCTAACCAACATTTCTTCGCTGCACATTTCGGCATCACAAGAAATAAGCTTTGTGCACTTGTCATTGTGCTGAGCTTGTCTTTCGTTGTGTTCGCACCTGCCTGCAGCGACATCTTCGACGCCATGTTTCCCGTGGTTCACAAAGCCGGCGAGGTGATCATCCAACAAGGGGACGAGGGCGACAACTTCTACGTCATCGACCAAGGGGAAGTGGATGTAAGCAGCATTGCACGAAGCTCACCTCAGCTGTTGAGTTCGGAAAGCAGGCGCACTCTACTTAATCTGGTCATTCTCTCTCCAGGTGTATGTCAACGGACAGCACGTCACCACGATTGCGGAGAACGGAAGCTTCGGAGAGCTGGCCCTGATTTACGGAACTCCTCGGGCAGCTACGGTCAAGGTACATCCACATTCCCTCTGTTACTCAATGTCTGCAATATAACACCTGTGGTTTTCACAGTGTATAGTAGCTGTGTTCACGTCAATTTCATTAACGTCCCTTTGATTGAAGAGAACGCTGGTATTGTAGCTACTTGCAGTATATTGTGGGTATTTGAGCTATTGTGAGGCTGTAGATTTTACTAGTGAGAGGGTGTTAGAGAAGGGAAGGGTTTTGATTGATTTATAGGAGGGAGTAGATTTGATCAATTCATTGATTGAACAGGCTTTTCCAATATTAAAACTCATTGTACTATTGCAAGCACTTGAGCAGTTTTAGATATAACTAGTGTAAGTTCGAACAGAAGGAAATGTGGTCACATAAGAGCACTTTTTAGCCTTATCGTACTTTATAGACAATAATTTTGTAGCATGGTAATCATCTGTTTGTACAATAAATTTCTATTTGTCGTTTAGTTGGTTCGTCTATGTTGGCTGTATGATATATAAATGATATATAAAAAGATTCTAAGTGGCACAAAGCAGGAAGTTGATGAAATTTTTTTCCTGTTCTTAACTATACGAATTGTGGAAACGTCTATAGAGATGACACATGGTTACATTTGTGATCTTTACAATGCATTCAACTTTAAAAATTTCAATGTGTTTGTTCAAAAAGCTTTTACACCAGGCGCTAGGCATGAAATTCATTTAATGTTGTCGAACAACTTGGTGGATGTTAAACCATTTACTGCTGCCACTGCAGGCTAAGACAGACATCAAGCTTTGGGCTATCGACCGAGACACATACAGAAGAATCTTGATGGTGAGTTGACGACCAGCAAAAACGCAGTTGGTCCCGAATGCTTCCATTTGTAATGTATGTGTCACATCAACTTACGCCCTCTAACTTACCACTGCAGGGAAGCACCATCCGCAAGCGCAAAATGTACGAAGAATTTCTTAGCAAAGTTTCCATTCTGGGTGAGTGTGGGTCATCCTCATCTCATGCTTAGTTTCAAAAAAGAGGTTTTTACTTTTCTCTGTGTACTGTTTTACTGTGTGCATTCTTACGGGTTGTCGGAAATATATGTGGTGGCCAATGCTGGTAGTGACACCTTTTGACGCAGAGCCTAACTGTAGATACACAAAACTTATCTAATAACTCACTTGTTCCTTTGAACCACTTGTGTAAGGCAGATAATCATTAACTCAAATTACTTTCTATGTAGTCTTTGGCCGAGAACACTGCCAAGATCAGAAGATTCTTCAAATGTATTGCAGTTGGACAAAAAAAAAACACTATCAGGTGTTGTTACCAGCCCTGCTCCTGCAGTGAATGGCTCCAGTAGAGTGGTGTCTGAAAATGGTATAAAAATCTTAAGGACAAACTATAAATCTCTAATGTTACAAGCCATTCCCGTGCGCTGAAAGAAAGCTTGATTATGATTTGAGGCTGCATATAAATTACCAAGCAGTAATCTTGTTTAAAGTGTTGAATGGTGCTTCAGTAGCCCTTATAAGGCAGACCAGGCTCGGTGTTTAACAAAGTTTCGAGGGACATGTGGTTGCATATTTATCTTTTTAAAAAAGATATCTTTTCGTGGCGTTTTGTCCGACAGAGAGCCTCGACAAGTGGGAGAGACTCACAGTGGCCGACGCGCTCGAGCCTGTCACATTCAACGATGGCGACATCATTGTGGAACAAGGCATGCCCGGCGACGACTTCTTCATCATTGAGGAGGTGAGTGGCTTGCATGGTCAACGCGACTCTGAACCCTGTGACAACGTCATTGTGGCAATAATTTGGTTTAATTGTTCCATCAGTTTTATTATTACAGCAGTTGCATGGACACTCGAGGCACATATGTGCTGTTTACGTCTTGTGTCGTGTGCAGTACAAATCTGTGAGACGACATCAAACAACACGTTGCATGTTCTTTGTGCGTGCGATGAATGTTCGCGAAGGCTGCAGAGGGGTACAGAGGGGAAGTGCGCTGTCGAACTTTGTTGGTAAGGTGACGTGTGTATGGGGGGAAGGGGTCTGTGTCGCACGGGCGGCGATTGCGAACTTTGATCAAAAGGAGGCCGTCACGTGTGCTATCTTGAGAGAGGTCTGTAGATGGCTCATAGCTTCGTATTTGTTGTGCTCTCGCCTCTTTGCTTTTAAGCTACAGACGGCACAAAATCTGCTTCACTCGCTGAAGTAGCCGCACTACTTTCCGCCTGACTTTTGTGGAGTTACACTAGGTTGGTTGCTGAAGGAGCTAGCCGTTAGCGTTACTGCGCATAACATTCCAATTTGTTGCCATCACATTTATTGCTTGGACCATGCGGCAAATCTCTCTTCTTGCTCTATACGCAGGGTTCAGCATCAGTGTTGCAGAGACGATCCGAGAGCGAGCCACAAGAAGAGGTCGGCAGGCTTGGCCCCTCTGATTACTTCGGTACGCTACACCCAATCCCTCACTCTGTTCGTGTTTGAGTGCGACGTGACTAACACACATTAGGAAGCAAACACCTTGCTACAAAGAGAATGCCCCATGAAAATTTTTTATTATTATTACTGCTAAAGTTTTTGGTGCAAGCTTCTGATCGAAGTAACATTAGCTGAAATGTTGGTTCCTTTTTTGCTGTCCTCATTATTGCCACGCAAATGTAGGAGGTTGTCTTTGATCACACTTATGTAGAGCACAGTTCCCCTTCCTTTTGTGGTATGGTCTAATGTTCTTGGCATTCAAGCAGAACAGAGTGTCGGTAAAGGCATTAAAGAGCTAGTTTCTTATGCAAGGGTCGATTTGCTGTCTCATTAAAGAGTCAAAGCATTTAGGGCCCCAAGAAAGATACACAGTCAACTTGCAAATGGCAGTATGATGCGCTTGTACCGCTGTCACTCCTTGCGGTCGAAACACGCGCAGCCGAGCAGATATTTGCAAATGACTGTGATAAAATCGTCTAAGATGGGCAAAAATTGTACATTCATTGCAACCTCGCCTTTGCTCTTTTGTTTTGCTTATTCGTTGAGGCACCGCCGCAACCGCGTGGAAGTCATTTTTGTGAACGGCTATTGTCTGCCATTATCAAAAAGCGGCAGACACTTTGCGGTGTCAGCGAGTTGAAATGAAAACTTATCGTATTTTTGGTTCGCATTGTTCGGTTAATCGTTGGCAGTCTTAGATGAGAGAACAGTGTCCAAAATATTTTTCACGCGAAATCTAACCGAAAGTCTTCATGCATGCTGCCTTTTATTATTCTTTTTTTTTTCCTTTCCTCGCAGTCATTCCTTCACTAAATGAATGTCTGGAAAGTGGGCTACCTCATTCTGAAATCTGCGTGTAGTGCTCGAAAATCTGCATGCAGTGTTCGCCGCAGTGTACGATATTTTTTACCGCAAGTTAACTGCAGCCAAGCACACCTGCGCTTCTCACATTTATTAGGATTTCTTTTTTAACATTTTTGTTCGCTTTGTATATGCCGTATCTTTACCACAACCACGTCGGAAGTGCTCTATTGGGAAGGGAAATCTCCAGACAGGGACGAATTTTTCGGCAACTAAGAAGCTTTTCTCTCTGGACTTCATGCCACAAACGGGTGGTTGCATAATTTTCCTTTCTCAACCCGTCCGCCACCTAGCAGGTCTTCGAAGAACTTGTTTGCATTACGATTGTTCAACAAGTAGGCGGCTTTGAAAAATGTTTTCTATATGTGGACAAAGCTTCATTGGGTAGCATAGGAAAATAGTAAGGGCACCAAAATATGGTCGTTGTAACTGTACAGTCCTCTAGTGTGCATTCCTTGAGGTTGCTCTCTCTACCCGTGTCGCAGGCGAGATCGCGCTGCTGCTGGACCGGCCGCGGGCGGCCACAGTGGTGTCGCGTGGGCCCCTGAAGTGTGTCAAGCTCGACCGGTCCCGCTTTGAGCGTGTGCTGGGACCCTGTGCCGAGATCCTCAAGCGCAACATGACCCACTACAACAGCCTCATATCCCTCTCCGTGTAGAGGGCAATTATCGGGTGAGTGGTCGGTGGCACTTGAACTCATTCAAGCGTAGCGTGCGGAAGGTGGAGGAGGGACTTTGCTGAGTAGTGCTTCTGTTGGCAGGGCAGTCGCGAAAGGGCTCATTTACTGTAGCCACAAAACTGAACAAGATAGTTATTTGGATGTCATAGCCATGGCGAGATTTCAAGTTCAGAAATGAGCCAAAAGGAAATTGTGCTATCGGCATAAGCAGGGTTCTTTCACAGAAGATGCTGGTGAAAATGCCTCCTGCAGATCTGCCTCACCACCCACCGCTTTCGATAAACCACCCACTGCTCCGACTGATTCATTAAAAGCGTGCATCTGACTATTGCCCTTTTTTGCACCAAACACCAGTTGGTAGAGAGCCTAAATAAAGGACTCTTATTTGCAGTGATTAAGTCGCATGTACAGTCTTTTCCAGCAGTTAATGTAACCAGGTACTAGCAGGGCATGCCTCCTAGTACCTGGTTACATTAAAGGAGTCTGTCGGTGTTTGTGCATTGGAAATGACAGCTCTACGTCTGTAGCTACTAGAAGTGTGCGACCCAAAAGCGAATGTAGTTGTGTGTCAAAAACTAGAGGTTTCCTGAAATTCTAAATTCCTAAACTTGACATTTCATCCTTAAAATGTCCACCCTTGAAGAGTTCTTAGAAGAACCTTGGTCGTAAGACAGCCATACCGTATTTACTCGCATAATCCGCGCACTTTTTTCCCGAAAAACTTATGGAAAGTTGGGGGTGCGATAATTACGCGGGGAAAATTTTCCGTGGAAATGTACAGCGCAAGAAAAAAAAACGGCCACAAATCGCAGTTTTTCGGCCAGCAACTAAAAGCTTCGAAAAGTGCTGATACAATGCTTACCTTTACACTGAAACTACATGTTCAACCCAAATCATGATTTATTTGCACGGACTAAAGTCCCTAGCTAATAAGTCTCTTGGGCGAACTACTCGGAGCCCGAGTTAAGACTGCCGTCTACGTCGCTCTTAGCAGCGTCATCATAGTCATCGCCAGATTCAGCATGGTCTCCCTCGTCGTTTTCGCGGACCACGTCGTCTTCCGTCCCATCCAAGGTGTTGGAGATCCCAGTCTTCTTGAAGCTGCGGACGATAATTTCTGGTGAAATCATGGACCATGCCTTGATTACCCAACAACAAAGGAGCTCCACGGACGACTTCTTTATCTTGCCCCTGGGAGTCATGGCATGGTCGCCTTCGGCCATCCATTCTGAATACAACCTTCGAACATTATCCTTGAACGGCTTGTTCAAGGATACGTCTAGAGGCTGCAACATCGAAGTCAGGCCACCTGGAATGACAGCGAGGTCAGTCCGCAGCTCCTTCAGCTTCGCCCGAATGGAGTCGAACAGGTCACTGTGAAAGCTGTCGACGACCAGCAGCGACGAGTTAAGTTGTGCTAGAGGGCGGCGTCCCCAAACAGTTTTTACCCAGTCGACCATAAGGTCAGCGGTCATCCACCCTTTCTGCTGTACACATACGTGTATTCCAGGGGGAAACTTGGCCTTCGGGAGGGTCTTCTGCTTAAAATTAATAAATGGGGGCAGCTTCCACCCATCCGCTGTTACGGCGAGCATGACGGTGCACCTCTGCTTCTCGGCACCCGTCGTTCTAATATGCATACTCTGCACACCCTTCTGCTCCACAGTTGTGCTCGGTGGTATGTTGAGTGGAGCTTGATCCGCGTTTCCAATTTTCGAGAGCAGAAAGTTCTTTTGCTCCCGAATCCTAATGACATATCGATGAAAATCGATGATCTTGTCTTCGTACGCCCAAGGTAACCGTTGACAAAGAGTTGTCTGTCTCCTGAGCGAGACTCCACTTCGGCGCATGAACCATGTGGCCCACCCAAAGCTCGCGCGGAAATCTCACGCCGGGAGGCCTTCCTCACCTGTGGGTATCTTTCAGTCTTGTGCCCACAGAAGGCCTTAGGTGACTTGTTTGTGACTTTAAGCTGTTCGTGCTGCCGTGGCCAGTAGCGCACACAGAATTCGTCTGCTCCGAAATGCCTGCCGGCGGCCCTGTTGCCATGTTCCAGAGCATGGTAGCAGCAGCAGAAAGGATGATGTAGCAGCAGAAAGGACGACGTAGCAGCAGAAAGGACGATGCTACACACGGATCACTACAGCGCTACCACAGAACACCACACTACTAACACTAAGCATGCACGCCGTGCCACAAGTGCTATTACGCAACTTGTGGCTTGGTTTGGATTGGATTAGAGCTCCGTTCTAGCAAATTAGTAATTGTTCCTCTTCCCTTTTGACACAGGGCAGGCATTTCAAGTGCCACAAGAATAAAAATAAATAAAAAATAAATAATTGATCTGTTCATCTGCTGGCCAGGCGTCAGAGTTACAAGCGAGCGCCCAGTAGTCTGGTGAAAGTCGAGCCAAGGCAAGCAGTGTTCCGCACCTGCTCTATGGAGGAAGGAAAAACATGACCAGCTTCATTCACGTGGTTTAAACTTGGATGTTTACATGCTGGGTCACTTTAGTTTGCCCCCGACTCATCGGAATTGGGTGATGGGTTGCCGGTGCGCGGGGTTGAAGAAGAGGAGGGTGCATAGGGCGTTTCCCTGGCCAGTGTGTTTTCGGCCCCTCTGTTGAGCCAGTCCCAGCGTAGCAGGAGAGTCTTCGTGGAATTTACCCGGTCGCAATGGGTTTCATCAGCATTCATAATGCATAAGAGATGGCGCTAGGCTAATGGATGCTATCGTCATCATTGGCTCAAAGTAGCAGACGACATATGCTGCTGCGATTTTTGTAGTGCAATAATTACACGAGGGAGAAAAAAATCGCATTTTTGCTGGCCGATGTTGGGGGTGTGAGAATTACGCGAGTGCAAAGATAGTGCGAGTAAATACGGTAATTGAGGTATTCACTTCTTTCTTCGGAGCATTTTTAGGTTGTGTGTAACACTTCCTTTGTAGTGCATAGGCTATACCATATACAAAAAGGTCAGTTGCGCTGAAAAGGCTGTTGTGTAAAAGCAGTTTGGTTGCAATGGCTGAGGTTTCGAGGACTGCGATAACAAGTTTTTTTCATGCTTTCCTGTAGTCTACAGGTTATCCGCTAAAGCGCATTCGAAAAAGTCTGGTGTGTTGTGGTGGTTAGCTTTTAGCGGCTGAGGTCTTATGAACTGCGAAAAATAGTTTCTCGAATGTCGGGAACCTGTAGAACAAGCCACAAGTCCTTTTCCCTTTCCCATTTCTTTGCAGATGTGTGGTGGCTGTCTAAAAGGAAAAAAGGTAGCAAGTGGCATCGCAGAAGAACAGAAGTCGCCAATCTGTTTTCTCACTTTTGCAAAATGGCTTCAAAGCACCAGAGAAACCCACGCTGCCCCCCTTCCCTTCTCCACCCCAAATTCCTCATCCTCTGCAACCTTTAGTGCCGCCTGCTCCTTCTTTCATGCCACCCTGGCTCTGCTTTCGAACTGGAACTTGTCTCTACCTTGGCGGGACTTTGAGGACTAGCCGATGTCTCAAGGATATCTAAAGGTGCCGGGGATGACTCGCCTCTCAAATTCCCACGCGCCGCTACGCGTTCGATTGGCTACACCGTGTGTCAAGGCCCCGGTATGAGCCGCAGGTCATTCTACGCACAGCAAACGGCAAGAATGGCGCCCTTGGTGTTTTGCAACGACGTCACCGACCCCATTGGCTCAGCCGTGTCATTAGAACGGCCATTGTAGTAAATTTGAGAACTCGTTCTGCTTTGAAAGCCTGGCGCAGTGTGTTTTATTGGGTTGAGAAAGAGTTGCGGGCAGGGCAGTTATTGGTTTCTTCGTGGCACGTGCGTAAGTCTGGAAATAGCCGCAGTGTGCTCGTAACCTTGCCATGCTTCCGTAGCCGTGCTGCGCCGACAGAGTGAGCTGTGCATCGAGAATATTATTGTTAGTACAAGGCCGGATCTTTCACGTGAAACTTCCAGTCACTTCTCAATCTGCGCTTCTCTGCTACGTGACGTCGTATGGCCGCACAAAAGAGGGAGCGCAGAAATGGTATAAAAGGTGGGAGTGAGCCTCCGTCTCGCCCAGTTGCAGCATTTTATTTGCACACTGTCATTTGACTTTTTTTTTCCTCAATTATTTTTTTTGTTGGGGTCATTTTACTTGTACATGGAACTAGTTTCTGTATGTGTTTTTGCGAGACAGGCACAAGAGATATGTGTGGCTCACACACAGCCTTTGAGAAGTTTGTCATCTACGGAGAAGATAGATCATCTTATTTTCACCTCTTCTAATGGAGCAGGTGGACCACCCTTTGTTTTATTGGCTTTGCATGTGATTGTTTTGTGCACCCCTCTTTATATCACTAGTGTATGCGCGCGAGTGTGGAGAGCATTATTATATTCTCCAGAGCTTCGCTTTTACGCGCTGTTCAAACTGCAGCCAGACCTCGCCCCCCCAGCCTTTCTCTTCTGCGCATATTCCGTCTTGGCGGTGTGGCCAGTTGTGTTGTAGATTTACACTTAGTGACTCTAGTCATGGTTGTCTCTGCTCGTGTGGCATCGTGTCGGCATGCATCGTCACTGGCACAGCGCAAGAAATGTGTAGGAGGAGAAACTTCTGTGTGAAACACCCTTGTGGGTGCGCAATCGAATCCGCAATGACTTACTGCCTTTTGGGGTGAAAGGTTCTTTTCCTGGATTTTGCTCCCTTTAGGGTGCAATTTGTATGTTTAAAAGTGTTTCATTTGTAAAGCAATTTCTTTTCACAGGGTTGTAATTATAAGGTTTACACCTGTAATGGTGTTTTTAGTAGGTGTCTAGGATTTACACGCGCGATTGTGTACTACGCAAATTTACACTGAAAATGGGGTGTTAATTATTACACAGATGCATACTAGCATTTGAAATGTAAGCAAAAGTGTTATAAAGAGGCAGTATTGAAAGAAGGCATCTGGTTACTTGCAAAAAGGCTGACTGTTAAGGCAATGCAGCAGTTGTCAGATTTCTAGCTGCACCGAATTCCGTAAATGCACAACCAGTGCATTTGCAGCATTGTATTGCAAGGCCACTGAAGGGATCTCCTCCTGAATTGTTCTTGCCTTGTGGTTGTTGTTAAGGAAAAGTGGATTTTCTTTTCTGTCCTGTTATGAAATCGTCTGTGGAAGTTATCTTGAACTGGACCATCACCATTGGTCGGTCTTTGTGCTAGGCAGCTTGTATTGCCGGTGACGCCGCAACTCTGTGCCTAGTTTCTGTTAACAGAAGGCTCAATTAATCAGCCGTAGAGAACGTCTTTTTCCTTTTGGCCGATAACTGTGTCTAGGCTTAGTCTCGCATTGTGAAGAAACTGACTTAGATGTCTTAACTGCATCTTCTTTCTTTTTGTACCTTTGATGATGGTCACTTCGGTGTGGCCATAAATCACGTCGAAAGCAACCCGTTATCTACTTGTTATTATTTTGTAAGGTTGTTGGCTCTCATAGCGCAGATGCAATTTTTACTCCCGAATCGCACCCCTGTGCCGTGGAGGACAAACCACTAGCCAACGTCCTTTCAGGCAGTGTAGTGCTCGTACGTCCCATCATCCTAACTGGGTGCGCAACGTCCTTGGTATTTCAGGGTAGCTGGACCATGCCCCCTCCCCACCCCCCATTTGTTGCCCTCAAATTAGCCGCTAATACTGCTGAAAGCCGCTGCGGTTGTTTAAAACAATGCGCATTTCCTGTCACCGTTGCTTTGGGCGTTTTCGGTACTGGAAGAGACAACTCGCGGCATGTCGTTGAGTGTGTCATTGCAATTAGGGGCTGGCGCTGACGTTTAGATTTAGCACGAGACCCAAGTGTGATGTGTTCCAACAAAATGCAGGATGTAGCGTTTCAGCATTTCAAGGGTAGCGTTGGTAAGGTCTTAGAAAGTTCACTAACGCCTACGCCCTTTTACTTCTGAATGACGCACACTGAAAGTCCTCGTTGTGTGGTCTATCTTTCTGTTGATCTGGGGCAAATGCGTTTCTAGCAACACCACATTTCTAACAAGCTAAGGGCGGTCCTTTGATAAAGATTTGTACTGTTCTTGCGTCCGCGACTTGGAAAGAGTACCGTAAGCTGCCCGTGGATGTCTTGCACCTTGTGGAACGCATGGCTGGCTCCAAGCTCACGGAACTGCGTCGTGCTTGCTACCTGGTAGCACGTAAAAGGCCACATAGCAAAAATCCTTTGACCGAAGTGTATTGGTCCGAGTTGCACGCTAGGAACGCCATCGTGATAGCTTCAGAGTGGGGATGGAATTGCCCACCGGTCCTTTTCTCGGCAAGCCGTTTCTCTGTGGACCGTCTTTTTTGCAAACCATAGTCTTTGTCAGTGAGAATTTCAAAACTTTTCTTGCTGTCAAAAACAACTTTACACTCTGCAAGTTGGGTGTCGTGTCGAGAGTACCAAACCTAAGAGCTGCAGCGCGGGTATGTGCAAGGCTGCAGCGTGGGTGTGTATGCCTGGAGACCCATGGTGTCAAGAATGGGTGTAGCGTCTTTTTTATTATGAAAATGTGCGCTTACTCGTGTCTCAGTTGTCTTTTAAACTTTTTAATATTTGTAGGACTGGCCTCCTCTTCTTTGCTTTATTTCGTTGCAACCTTCTTTCCTTCCTCCTATGCCCGACCCGTCTGTTGCAAAGCACCCCTGAACAGCTTCTTTTTGGACAAATGTTCGGAGTTGTGCAGAAGATTTTGTTGTTAGAGTAAAAGAAGCAAAAAGTGGTATCAATAAAAAATAAAAAAAAATATTGTTTGTGACTAACGGTGTTTTCTTTGTGAATGCCTCTACTATTCATTGACTGAAGTGCACTTTGAAACGGGCTGTGATTTTTGTTAAAATGCTTCGACAATGGGCAGTGGAGAGCGGGAGTAATATTGTTTGCTACTTGTACTCATTTGCATATGTTTCAGCCGGAATAAACGTAGTGCAAAGTTGTTGCTTTGAAGTAAAGTAATGGCAGCCTATGTTGCTTTAAGATTGGTCCCGTGCAGCAGATACAAATGCATAAAAGAAAATTAACAACCCCGTAAAGTTTGGCATATAAGTTCTGGCTTGGCCATTTTTCAGGGGGGGGGGGGGGGGCGATTATTCATTATCTGTGCAGATTCGTGCATGTGCTTGTGTGATAAGCTACACAAGTGTCAAAGACGTATTAGGTGTCAAGCGCTAGGTACCCGGGACGTCACAGAATTGAGCCCTGATGGACCTTGGCAAATTGCAGTTTGCAGAAACATACTTGAAGTGTGTTTAATTTAAGATATTGTGTAAATACGTAATTTCTGAGGCTATTTGATGTCGAAGTCCGTTCCCTGCACCAAGTGCCTTTAGGTCCGCAAGTTCTATGACGTCGTACGACTGTTATGCGACGTCGTTGAGTTCAAATGTCGCCGGCAGTAGAGTAAATATGGCTCATCAAGCATGTCCGTCACTGCAGATGTATGGTGACCGAGGGAAATCGATGCGTGAAAAAGTCGGTTCTCTTCTGGTGCGAGCATGCATTATGTGTCGTTTCGATCCAGCATTTCCCACTAAAATATATCCTAAGGGCGTTCAATGACGCCACTTCTAGTTACCGATTGAACTACAGTACTAAAAGAACTCGCGGAGGAAGAAAGATTTTCTTGTACTTCGTGCTTCTACTACTACCACTAGAAAAACGGCACACTTGCCGCAAGAAAAACGTTGTGTACAAAAAAAAGACAGCACCCCCCCCCCCCCCCCCCCCCCCCCGTGACCACGTAGATTTCGACTGAACTTTTGACCGTGTTTGCTTCGACTTGTATAATTCGCTTTCCACAGAATATCGATTACATTGCGTTTTAGGACAGCCAGGTGTTGAGGATTAAGGTTTCGAACTTTTATTGCATCAACATCGTTTTTTAAATATATTTGACGTCATACTGACGTTACGAGCTTGAAAATGCAGGCGCGAAATTCAACTGCAATGCGACCTGACCTATAGGGCACCAGTGATCGCGGAAATAACGAACAATATAAAGTTCTTCATGCCATACCATATGAACAGTTTATCGAACCTTAACTGGCTCGGCGTATCAACTTGTCCCTCCAAGTGCAGTACTCTAGTGTGACCACTAGTTCCCGGCTTAATTGGGCCTTCAGAATAGAGTCTGTGTAATGTTGCTGGGGAAAAGAGAGATGTCCGTTACCGTTCGCGGCGCCATCATCAGTAATCGAAGACGAGAAGGCAGCAAAAGGGAGAGTTGGGCTAGTTTGAAAACAAGAAGGCAGGAAGAAAAACTACTCTTAACGACAGCTGCATGCCGCGGTGGGGCTACACTGAACAGGTCTTTCACGTTCCAACGTCGCCCACGTACGCACGCTCGGCGTTCCATCTACGGCTTACACGACCTGGTCCTCTGTGGCATTAAATCGTACAGAAGCGCCATATAAGGGAGTTACAGGAAAGGGGGAGGGGGACGTCTGTCAGCAGGAGTCCGAGCAGCTAGCATTCCAATCTCGAAGCGTGCGGCAGAGTCGGCTTTTATCACGGTGTAAGAAGCTACTACTTCTTACACCGTGGCTTTTATCAAAGCGCCGACGACGCAGCCGGGAAACCCTTCGTTGCGCCGCTGCGGATGTAAATAAAGCCAGCAAAACAGAAGAAAGAAATTTCAACGATAATACGTTACGCACTGGCTACCTCGCCCCTCGATCGGCAGCAGAGCGAGCGGGAAAATATAAAGCGGTGCAAACGACAAATGGGGGGGGAAAGAACGAGCAGCACAGGACAAGCAGAATAGCAGACGATATACAGAAGAAGACTATGAAAAAGACGAGGAAGGCTAGCCGACTACAAATAGGAGAAGACTGTAAAAGCAAGAAGATTTTACCAAGCAAAAGAAGAACCCTGCGAAAACAAGCAGACGACAAATGGAAGACGAGAAAGGCTAGCAGATGACAAACAGCAGTAAAAGCAAGATCTTGAGCAAGCAGGAGACGTATAAACCAGTCTTTTTTTTTTTTTTCTCAGCAGGGCTGGCTGCTCGACGGGTCGACGCCGCTATCAATGAAAGTACGCACACAAATAAAAATTACTAAGGGGGAGGCGTCTTTGCCGAGAGAAATGTCGCAGAGCCTGGTGGCGTTTCCGCTAGAGTCTTAAGGCGAGGCAGCAACCGTTGTCGAGGAGTTTTCGGGAAAGAAGCGCTCCACCAGCAAACGAAGCCACACGCCCCTAAGCTGCATAGTACGCCGGCTAACCGAAACAAGCAAGCAAAAAGATAATAATAATGCGATAAATTCATCGGGCGTACAACATAGATCGCTCCTCCCGCGCAAAACGCGTCTCTCGTCATCTCTGAGGGCCTGAGGCCCCAGTCGCCCAGTCCTCGTCAAAGAGAGAAAAAAAAAAAAAAAAAAAAAAAACTCTGCGCTCGTGTGGCAAGTGCAAGCGAGGGCGATGGCAGATGCGCAAGTAACGCAAAACGTATACGCGCAACGTATGCAGGAAAGGGAGGAGCGCGCGCGAATTAAACAAAAATGGACGTGGGCAAGATGGCGGCGCCCTCTAGCGAGTAACAGAAGCGCGGCCGCAATGAGCGGTGCAGACGAAAAAGCGCTTTGACAGGCTCGCGACGTCCGGAGATAACAGCGTTGATTGTGCGCTGCTGTGCGGATGGTCGACCGGTGGAGATGAGCTATTCGGTGAGTTTGAGTAGAGCACGTCGCACTGTTTTTGGCGCGCGACTCCTTTTTAAGAGTGTGGTAGACTCCTTTCTAAGAGTAGGAGCAGACGGCGCGAAGCGATTGAGCAGACGACGTATAGTTATTGTGTGACAGCAGACGAAACGGAAGTAGTTGCTGCACTGCTGCCGTTTGCACGTTTTCAAGTATCGAGAAGGGAGAGTGAAAAGATGTTA